TTTCTCAACTCTATTAGCTGAAAATGTTTTGAACATACAGTAGAATTTATGTTGCCAGATAGAAGTATTTTTAAGCTTTACATTTTGTCACAATTGATATGTATGACATTTTCATATGAGAAATAATATTCTTTTTGTAATTTGGTTGATACATTTAAAAAATCTTAATTGCAGCTGATCAGCCTGTTATTATTATCTGTATCTCTATTTAGTGTAGATTCCAAAAATGGTAACGAAGGATTATAAAATGTATTTGTTCTTGGTATAAGGCCACTGTTTTTTCTATTGTAAGGATTTCCCGTATTTTATTATTACTTGTTTATATTGCTGTAGCACGTAGGAGTTTTAAGTATAGGCAAGTTCCTCATTGCATTAGATGCCATAAAAACACACAAACAAAAAAAAGCCCTGGAGATTTGTCCTGTTCCAAATGGAGGTAACATACATCTGTGTACTAAAAGTAATTGTGTTAAATTATTTTAAGAATAATTAATACATTATAGGCCTTATTCAAAGTGGTATGATTTGTTGCTTATATTGAAACAAATCTGGTTTCTTAAACATCTTAGGGCTGACCACAGGGGTTGGCAACATTTGTGCCAAAATACCTGCAACCTTGACTTGTAAGATGTTGATGTATCAGGGGCAGACAGTGAGGGAGCCTTAAGGGGCCCAATCCTTGATATAGCAGTGCAGCCCCGGCCCCTTTTCCAAGGCCTGAGTGGTAAGCAAAATGCCTTCATGTGCCATGGTCTGGCACGCATGCCAGGGGGTTGCCTACCACCGGCCTACTGCATTTGAGAACCTGCATATAATGGCATTTTAAAAGCAAGTTTTTAAAATTGGCAAGTTTGCACATCTGTCTAAACATTCTTGTTTTATATTTTCATTTGTATACTTTAATAAACATAAGGGGAAAAAAGAAGGTTTTCAGTATGTTTTCATATTGGGCTGTTGAAAAATCTGTTGTTAGTGCTTCATGATTTCATGCTCTTTTGCAGTTTTCCAAGCTGTGCATTTCTTTTCTCTCCCCCCACCCCAATATAACTGTTTTCACTTACTTACTTACTTTGGTAGATTTCCCACTTCTTTTCTTTAGCAAAGGAAAGTCTATTTTTATTGTTTTGTTTTTCCATCTACATGTTAACTCTCCTTACACAAGTTACAATTCCAACACATGCTTACATTCATTGTCTTTCAAGTTGAGAACATATCTATTATTTATCCTATAGCTCTGATTCAGCAGACACTCTTTTTTTAGTGAAATACCATTTTCCTGTCCTTCCACCAACAATC